ATATATATTGGTTAATCTCCTTTGGCAGTTATAGCAATGCTGTATGCAGTATATCGGTTGTCCCAACTCTACCCAGTACGAGAAGTGTCATGTTTATGTATGACGTTACCCAACCCGCCCCCGGCAACATTCATCACATAACTCTCTCTAAACACTCTTATTGACACACTTACAGATTTATCGAGCTGGTGTACGTAAAGATAAGAAAATCCATTACTGCTAAGTGATATTGTAATTAGGGCCACCCATTCGTCTACTGGAACTGGAGATATATCGTCAATGTATTTGATGGATCAACATCAAGAGTGGTGCCAGAACTAGCCTGCTTCTATGAGCGTGTTAATGTGACGCAGGATGATGTTAAGTTTTCCTGACTTTCATGAAAGCGTAAGTTTGTTGTGGGCATGCAAATTGTGGACTATTTATACTTAAATAACTTTTTTACGAGTATCATTATACTTGTTATTCGGTATGAGATTTTGCAAACAAACGGTTTGACTTCCTCTTAGCTTGCATCCCTTGTGTAGTTTTATTGAAACAAGTTCACAAGGACTTACAATAATCATTGGGCTGTAAATTAATGATGATGCTAGTAATTAAAGATCGATTTTAGATAGTTTAGTAACACCATCCACCAGGGTTTGGACCGACTCCTTCTAAAAACTCAAAAACATCAAACATACCAATTAATTACTTAGATAAACACACACACCCACACGCACAAGCACACACACACACACACCACCTACAAGTAAAATACTAAGATAAAATGGTAGTGCAAACAGTGTATGAAGTGTGTTATTTACACAAGGGGGAGAGGAATAGCAGGTTATCGAACCGGAGACATGTGGTCTGCCATTGTTGAAGCAACATATTTCCGGAAGGCGCGAATTATCCCGCCGAGAAGTGGAACTAAAGGGAACGGGACCTTGATGTGATGGCGTCCACGGCACGGCACAGTACAGCGAGGCACGGAGTCGTATAGTACGGCACACCACAGAGGGGCATTTGTTTGGGATGTAACTAGTTATTATTTTTATAATGAGCCATCGTTCTAAATTACTTGGATTTTGATCTTTTAATCAGTTTGAATAAATGTAGCGACAAATTTATTCACTACTAGACTAACAAACCCACTAGGTGTAGCCTCAAGTACTCGCATAAATGAATGTAGCTATCCCAGCAAAATATCATGCGCTGCGCAGTTCCAACAGTGGTGGAGCTGAGAAGCCTTGTCGGGCCTTCCGGGTGGAAACAAACGGGAACAGCTGTTCGGAGGAAGACCAGACAAGTCCGGCGGTGAGCGGTGGGGCGCGCTTGGGGCCAATGACGTCAGACGCGTGCCGAGCTTATCAGTTATCGTAATAACACGGTGCCTCTGTCAGCGCGAGCGACGCTCTTATCACGGCGGCTATTCGTCCACGTCAGTTGTCTAGTAGCGTCTTGTGCGGCTACAGCTGCGGCGTGCGGCGTGGAGTGTCGGCCATTATATTCTACCAGGAACCCTTTGATTTCGGTAACCATCGGGTGAAGAACTGAGCAAAGCTATAAATTATCGGGTACCAGGCTTCGATCTGATTTCTCTTTGAGGTGGTCCATAGTCTCATCCTGTTGCGTTACCTCGAGCTAGATGATCAACTTTCCTGGATTCCCCGAAATTAAATGAAAACGTTATCTAAGATAATTACTACGAAGTTGTAAAGAAGATTGTTAGGCGAGATAGTCGAAAACAGTATAATCTCTGTCGTAGAAGTGGCACTTGCCTATGTAAATTTGTTAAAATAATAATATTTTTCAGCTGTTGGAGAGACATTTTAAAGAGTAACAACATATGCTTACTTGTCAGATGCACAACCACAAGAGCCTGGCCGAGTCCCAAGGTGGACCGGTGCTGTGGCTGGCCAAACATTGTCTGAGCTCTGAGCTCTGTATGACAATCCACAACCAAGGCCATCTGTATCGTGTAACTTGATATCCCCTTGTTTACGTTATTTTGGAGTTGGGAGTGATCATGTATCAAGCACGATTTACCACTTAATATCCCTAGAACGTTTACACAATAGCTTTGGAAATGCAATAAAATATATTGATTTGAATAAATAACATGGAGGTTTACCAAGAAAAATTTAATAGCAAACAAGCTCTAAACGGAGCTCAGGTGGTGACCGGTTGAATGCAGTAGGTTTATAGCGACCTCTGATGTGAAGCTAAAGTCATGTTCTGTTAGGCGAATTGCCGATAAAATAAAATAGCAGTAAATCAATATTCTTGGCTGAAGAACCGTGTTGTAAAATGTGCTTCGAGTAGTAAAATAATCCTGCTGACCTTCGGTTCACTATAAAGTAGTGAAGTCCCACCCCACAAGTCTCGAGATCGGAGTGAGGTTTAATATGCACAGAATATTTTGGATGGTCATCTTCATTAGGCTTCATTTGTATTCTCATAGCAATTATAATTACATTTAAAAAATAAATCTTTCTATGTGGGATGGATTCAAGTTGATTTAACTTCTAAACTGATACAAAGTGATTGAAAAAAATGACGCAAAGTAGTAAATTGCTCGTATGATAATCAAAACTGAAACTTATAAGGGACAACACATTGGTCATTAAAAGTATTGACGTGTTATCAACCTAAAAGGTTTGTCTGAAATCAAATCACTGCCATACTAATATCATTAGTCAGCTGGTGTTGGCGTCGTGTCGTCTGCTGTGGACTGCAGATGATGGTCAGGATGGTCGACGAGTTGGGTTGGCAGTGGCCGCAGGGAAGGGTGCAGTGATTGTTGTAATGGCGTAGTTAACATATCAGAGATTGTCAGAGCGGCGGAGTTATGGTGGCAGCGGAAGTTACGATCTCCGCGTGTTCTGTCCGTCACACCACCACCAACGTACACCGACACACCAACACAACAACACACCACTGACATACTGACAACCGATCATCAACCGACCCCAGCCAGCTCAATGTAACGGTCTTACGAGAAAACATGGGAATCTGCACATGTCAGAAGCACAGTGGCACACGTGCCAACGTCCGTCACATGCAGGGTGACAAACTTTATTATTGATAAATGAACTGCGAATCTGATCGGTTATAGTGCTCACCAAGAAAGTCGCCGGTCCCGTCCGTTTTGAGAAAAGTTACTCACTTTTTCGTCAATAGAAATTGGACGCAGCTGTCATTGACCATCGAGATTTTACAAATCAGTCAGCTCGAGATATGTTTTGTGCCATTATAAACATATAAAGTGCTGTTAACGATTAATGTAAACACGTAGTGGAAGTTACTTATCAACTAGATCAGAATTCAACTCTTGAGACATTTAGAAAAACAATCTGGTTTTGATCGACCATCTCCGGGATGAGCTGAAACAGCGCGTGACGACGACGCCCGGATATTCGCCGATCAACGGTTTCCAACTCTTCTAATTAAAGTAATCTAGGGAAGCGGCGGGCGGTGCAAGCAGGTGCTTAGCTCAAGGTCACACGCAACTCTGCCACTATATCCTCTAAACATTGCCTGTTAGTACTTGATGTCTTAATACATCCAATAGGTACTACCAGTGTCTACTATTGGTGCTAAACATGTCGTTGATAAAGCATAAACCAGGCAATATGGCTGCTTGTTGTGCATGTCAACATTGACAACGGCTAACATTAAGTTAAATTTTACTAAGTTCCCCACATACATTTCGGCCACAGGCGCTTAGATAAATATTAACATACGCAACAACTATGGCATGTTTAGTCCCATATATGAAAGGGAACAGGGAAGTGATGGTTAAATGCATTTTGAACGAATGAAAGACCATTCAAATCAAGTATGATACCAAGAACTAGCTTTAGCTTTTTTATTTATTATTAAGTCAAACTTCCTTATCACACTCAGAACCATATGGTTTCATCAACAAGGCTGTCTAGCTCTGATTTTCTACGAAATCCCAACATGCCGTACTAACCATCATGCCAGTTTTATTGTACTTAATTTTTCTGTGGGTATTTGTATGGCTGGTTCTTCAATTAGTGCGCGTGTTTCTTTAATTTGTATTTAAATTATGTTCATAGTATAGGCCTATATTAAAAACAGAAAATATAGTGTTATCAAAATCCTACTCTACTCATATGATAAAGCGTAGTATATTGTAGGATTGTATGAATGTTTGTAGCATAGATATTCAACTCAATTGGTACATAATCTTACTATAACTCGTTTTTATTAGCTCACTTTCGTGTCTGTTCGTTAAAAATTTTGCAATCGATTTTTTTAACTAACTTCTTGATTAGCTAGAGACTTGAAACTTGAAACATAGCTCACAAATGGATGACAATGCAATATTAAATCATTTTATTTTCATATTTATCTTGGGCTACGCCCCATGGGCTTCCAAAGTTTCAACGTTTACATTTTGGAAGAATGTAAATATAATATATTAGTTGAAGTCAGCTTTAAATGCTTTAATTTGACAGTTTATTCAACTGGCAGAGGTTTAAGAGGTACTGGTCAATGAGTGTATTTATTGTACATGTTCTGCTCCCGAGAGATTCTAAATATAAACAAACATTTTCAAGTAAAGATAAAACATCTGATTACAGATTAAAAGTTTTTGGTTATGCACTTACAGTCCGTATAATATAGATTTAATATATTTACATATCAAAGACTAAAAAGTAGAAAATAATTTTCTAAATATGTGGAGAAATTTATAAATTTGTAAGAATTAAAACGAAAAACGTGGAGCGCATGCAATAGATAATAATTAAGAAGGGGTAGCTGACGATAGCAAACAAACAAGTTCACACAGTACATCCTGTTTGTATGATTTACATCTCAAGATTTTGCACGTTGGCATTTCATTTTTAGATAATATTTTTTTCACGCATCTATTAAATAATAAGGGAAATAGTAAAATAATTTGGCGGGTAAAGATAAAACACAGGCCAATACGAACGCACTCATATATCATGACAGCTATGCTAAAATATCACCATATCACCTACCTTGAAAAGTTATGATAAATCCAAAACTGTTACTGATGTTGGCTGCAGGTTTACATGCACATGACACACTACGTCCACATATCCGAGCACATTGTCAGTGACGACTTGGGCGATTCCCCGCGTTCAAGTCTCCGCACACACGTGTTGTTGTATCAGACAGCGCTACACAAGGTCTACTCGCCTCCGCTATACACACCACACTGACTCACTCACTCACAGAATCAGCTCTCTCCTCGCCTCCCCCCGCTCCTAGACTGCTGTGGCACTCATAAAAAAATAATGTGTAAATATATATTTTCTTTATCCGTGTGATCGATTAATGCAAATGCTTAATGTATAAGTGAAGATTGGTGTCATAGGAAAAGACTCATAGGAAAATATAAAAAAGGCTATTCATCAATTGATTTAGAAACCAGATAAAATTATTTGTCTTAAGGAGCACAATTTAAAAATGTGTTGGTATGAGGACGATGTTAACGTAAATGATTTTCCCGAATAATTCAATACGCGTACAAAAAAAAATCTACTCTCTCGTCGCCGTCCCTAGCCTCTTATCAAGTATAGTTTTAAAATAATGTCACCATATTTTACTATGTATATTCGATCGATTCAGTCAGGTAGGTAACTTAATAATGAAGAAAATACATACAAGTTATTCATTATTTCTCGTCATTAAAATTCCCTACTGGAGTCTATAGCATTTTTAAATGTAGCCTATTATGATGATGGTACAGTATTTGTAATCAATAAACGTATTTTCTTTAAGCCATATATTAGGTTTTATATTAGAATCATTTGATTTATATATATATATATTTAAATTTTTGTTCAAGTGAAACGTGAAAGTAATTCATTTTTAATTTGAACTAATTTAAATTTTCTTAGGTGAAATAATTTTGTTATTCAACCCTTAAAATTAAAATGTTTGTTAAATAAGCATTACTATCTTTTTACTCAAAATAATATGTTTTTGGCACGCTTATCAATATTAACAACGCTTCTAGGTAACAAAAATTGAATCCAAAGCATAGCTGTCAAATTAAAAAAGATGATTCTATAGTTTTCAGATTATACAATTGATTAGTTTGACAAAAACAAATAAATACCCCCGCCGCAGCAAACCTGCAGACAAGGCGAATTTCCATTTGCATGATTGGATTTACACTAAAATGTCTCCTTAAAAATATCACATTTATCCCTATTTAAATAGAATCAGTTTAACACATACTTAGGTTTGCTGCAACAGGGAGGTAAAAGTGTTTTTTATGTAAAATGTTAATAGTTAGTAATAAATAAAAACATTTTCCAAATTTGGGCAAAATATGTTAATAATCAAGGAAACTACAACAGTTTACTTATTCTCCATAAGAATAACATGGGAATTTTAAATTTACAATTTTTTGGAATTTTCTCCGTAACCATTAGGCGCATAATAACGCTTCAATATACTAAATTATTTGTTTTTTTAAGCTCTACAAAATAGTTTAGAAATAAATTGAAAAATTTCATGTTTTTTGGGTCAAAAATGGGAAAAACCCATTTTTACCCCATAAAACCCCCCATAAACCCCCGTTCCCATGGTCCGATCATGCTGGTTCGTGAACTCGTTCGAATAAACGTAGATTTACACGTTTGTACCAAATTTCATTAAAACCGGATCATTTTTGCTCGAGTTATCGTGCTAACGGACACACATATATATATATATATGAATTTTAACGGATGGCGTTTTTGGCCTCTAGGGACCCCAAAACGAAAAAAAAATCGGTCCCGGGTCCAGGTCTTACCATGAGTACTACGGTAATAGCTTATTCCCTATATGGGAAATTCGCTAAAAGACTCACCTAAAGCAACCAAAGATAGCTTTTCGCTGATTTATAGTTACTTATAGATTGTGTTACGTAATCGTAGCTTAAACCTCTTGCAATGTGTTCATAGGGGACGACGGAGGTTTTTAAGGGTACATGTTGCGTTATATTGAATGATTAATTTGATCACAATTTAATTTTATTCACAAATTTATTTAATGATTTCATACAAATAAACTTGCATATAAAGAAATATTGTGAAAAATCTCCATGTTTTATAAATATCTGATGGACGTTATAGCATTGACTATATAAAAACTAGTGTTTTTCATAGTCCCAATTCTGTTTCTCCATGGACCAAGTAAGTTTGAATTTTTGTGTCCGTGTCCGGTCAAAGTAGAAGTGGGTGAAGTGTTTGTCTTGACAAAACCGTTTTGTCAATAACCTTCTTGCTCTCCTCTTTGCTTGGCTGATCTTTGCAAAAACATAATTACTTGACTCCCGCGAACAATCCAGTGGTCACAATTCATTAACTCGACTTTTTCTTATTGTGTGTTAGCTCCTCTTTCTATTTCGGATCCCGTTTTAGTATGATCAAAAACAACAATACATTATTCAACAGTTTCAAACCTAATATTGAATTGAAAGTTGAACTAAGTTCGCCCAATACCATAGAGTAGGGTTGAAGTACAAGCGCGTTTGATCATATCAATGGATACGGACAAAAAAGTAGGGTTTAGCATGATAAAACACTACAGATGTACATTTATGAAGTGACTTTTGAAAATATCGATGGTTTATATCGTTTATTGTTTTTTAGCATATTTGGTTTTAATATATTTTAAGATTTGGTTTTAAGATATTTTAAATCTATTCAGATGCACTTCAAAATTTTTTCTAGAACTAACATTTTTATTTACCTAATGTGCCTTTCCATTTTGAGTTTGAACCAGATCCAATCTCCAATCTGGCTTTGACCATTAGCTAAATGCCAGATTAGCGTATCTCAGTGGCAGACTAAACCGAGTGTGATTGCCTTCTCAGATTCTCCTAGGAGGAATACATGTACGAGAGATATAATAGGTGGCATTGTAGAGGGATAGCTTTGCGGGCTACATGTCACTAACTGAGATTGAAGAGATAAGCCAGCGCTTGTCTCAAATGCAGATTGGAGTGATAGACTCGCGAGAAGTGGTTTCACCTGCTGCTACGTCCGGACCTGATAACACAAGTGATAGCATCAGGCCATTGTTAGCTGGGGATCTGCAGGGAAGAGCTTCAATTGTAATTTGTAATTGGTTGAGGGGGAGAGAGCGCCAAGACGCTGGGAAGATGCAGTAATGTCATCAGTTTTCATTTATAAGCTAGGTCAAGTTTAGGAAATGTAGCGAAACAAAATGCATGAGTTTTTTGTTGACTGTTCAGCGGAGCGGAGCGAAGCTCTTTGGGATCGACTTCAAAGCAAACTTTCTAACACATTAACTCAATAACGGCTGGACATATTTTTGCCAAACTTATCAAGGTTGTTTGGAACACCCTGTCAAATGTTTGGAAGGTTTAGACGAAACCAATTTAAATTTTTGATAAAGCCTATATATTTTAAAAGTAATTTATATCCTTTTAAAATTTTAACATTGGCCTTGTGGGTTGACATGCTGGTTACAAAATAATGACGTAAATGTAAACAAAATAAAGAATCATAGCATATGTTAAATCAAGCCACGACCTAAGCACAGTACAAAGGTAAAAACTACCTTTACAACTTTTGCCTGCATTTATTAAGTACTAGCAACCCGTCCTTCGTGCGGTGTTGGCATATAGGGATAAAAAGCTTATTGCAGTTATAGGCTACTCGAGCTTTGCGTTTTCAATGGGGGAGGACACAGTTTGATAAAATTTGCTTCTTTAAATGTACGGTATACATAGTACTACACATCTACCATAGCCATAATGTTGTACCACTTCAGCTAAACTCCCTAAACAATAGGAAAAATTTAGTTTAAAAAAAATTCGCAAAATATCAAAAAATATTCATCAAATAAAAAACATAAACAACTGTAAACAATCCTACTTTGACAGTTCTCATTGCGTATCACAGCTTTATGTTGCTGCTTAGTTGAAATTAGCTGTTATCATGAATCCAAAAAATATATAATAGTGCTGCACCCTGTTGGTAAATCTTATAACTTTTTAATGCTTTTGCATATCATAGAACCAACTTTTTAGTTAAAACAGCCAACAATAGTTATTTGTGCAACTAGAGAGAAAAGTGAGCAATTGACTCACTCGAGAGAAATCCTTACTCATGAGCCGTAGGCGAGTGAGGAATGGTTTCTCGAGTGAGGCAATTGTACTTTGAACTCAAGTTGTACATTATACTTTTCCTACAGTTACAATAAAACAAATAAATTGGTGAAGAAACATAACCTATTTTTACACAGAAGTGAACTTTTAATATAACATTTAACGTGAAGTGACAAATACAACAGTACCACAGCTGACCAGCTGATTTACAGCCAGTGCTGCCAACGTATTTCGCGCGCATACGACGTTGCCTGCATGTTTCGTGCTCACTATTTCGTGCCTTCACGTTGCAAATCTGGAGTGAGACAAAGTAATTAGAGTGAGACAATGTTAACATTGTCTCACTGGTGAGCGAATTGGCCACTTTGCTTTCTCAAATCAGTGAGAGAACATGTACATTGTTAGGTAACTGTAGGAAAAGTTCTTTAATTCCCTTTAAATATGAATACTCATAAGGTTAACATGGGGAACCACAGAGCCACTGGGGCGGAGCCCGAAAGGATTTTTGAGATAAGAATATGTCTATATGTTAATCGGGAATGTGAGCTATCATCGTGCCAAATTTCAGCCCAATCCGTCCAGTGGTTTATGCGTGATTAAACTTCAAACAAACAAACAAACAAACACACAAACTTTCACATTTATAATATTAGTAATGTTGCGGGCTTAGCAGGTTCTTTACAAATAAAACTTGGCGATTTTATAATAACTATTTATTTACACTAATTATTCTCTATTAACAAATATTTACAATTACCTAACACCTAACTAACCCTATCTAACCTAGCTAAAGCCTATTCTAATTTACAATGATTCTACTTACAGCTAACCTTTACAGGATTTATCACTACTTCTGTCACAACACTGTCACTACACTGTCACTAGTGTTACTACACTGTCTCTACACCGTCACTACACTGTCACTGCCACTAGCACTAGCAGTGGTCACTAACACCGACGGGCGCTTGCTGCGACGATTCTCGGAAGGCTCAACTCAACTCAACTGCCGTATGCCGGAAGACGGTCCCTTATATAAGTTTACCGTGGAACATTCTAGAGACTACTCG